GGAATCAGGCAATGCCACAGCCCACAAAGTGGAGTAAATGCTCCCAGTCTGGAGTCTCCCTCCGGACTCCCCCGTGTTTTTCTGGCAGAGGGCAATGGGGCCCCACACGTGTGCGAGGCGGGGTCGCCTCGCGGTGTCACGCTCCTGGCTCCGCCTCACGGGGTGCACCTGTGCAAGTCCTCCCTCCCTCCCTCCGCTCCTCATGACCACGCCCACTCACACGTGCCTACGTGCTCCCCTCATCCAACCCTCCCCACAGCCACAGCGAAGCCGGCCTGGTCGTTAGCACAGACTTTATTTGCACGCCCACCTTACAGGCCAGGAAGCAGGGACAGACAGCGCCAACAGCTTGCCCACCGTGCTCGGGCAGGCTGAGCGGCAGAGCCGGGGTCGTACCCAGGCAGCCCGGTCCCGGGGTCTGGCTTCGCCCGCCTCTCACCCGGATGCTAACAGAGATGACAGCTGACAGCGCAGCTCCCACCTGGAGCCCAGGTAGGTTCTGTGGGGGCGAGCATGGGCCACCGTGGAGCCAGAATTACCCGGCGGGCAGGGCAGGACGCGGCGGTTTCCTGCCCCGGGCTGCCCTGGTGACCGGCGAGGGGCGGAGGGAGGCAGACGGAGGGAGAGGGGGTGGAGGGGCTCCGCTGAAGGGACCTCGTTCTCCAGGGAGCCGCACCTGCTCCCTAGGCAGCGAGCCCCAAGGGCCCTCCCAGCGCGCAGGCCAGCAGGGCAGCCAGCAGGAGCAGGGCCCCGCGGCGGGACGCCCGGGGCGGGGCGGCGGCGGCTGCGCCCTGGAAGCTCTGAGTCACGGAGTCCCCGTTGCACAGGCGGCCCTCGCAGCAGGAGCCCTGCAGGTCGATGGCCGTCCAGGGGCTGGAGGTGCCCGCGGTGGTGCAGGAGGGCCGGTGGCAGGTCCTGATGTACACGGGGACCGAGAAGTTGCCTGGGGGCGGGCAGCGGGGAAGGGTCAGAACCGAGCCAACGCCTCGGAGGTGGCCGCTGTGCCGGGGCCCAGACCCACTGCAGGTGTGCCTCGGGCCAGGCCGCGCCTCTCCTCTCGGGCTGAAGTCTCCTTTCCTCCCGCAGGCCAAAGCCTGGCTTCCTCGCTCGTCCCGAACCACGCCCCCTCCCTGAGACTAGAGCCACGCCCCTCAGATGAGAGCCAACACCCTTCTGGTTAGAGCCACGCCTCTCATGTTAGGGCCACGCCCCTCACACT